AAGATCTGGTTGGGTTATAGGCCAAAAACTGTTGCTTGACATGGCTCCAATATGCAACGTTGGAGTAAGTGCCAAACACAAGCCCAAAGTCAGAAAGCGATTGAGCAAAAAGCATAGTATTCACACTTGATTGCATGAAACTCATTCAGTATTAAAAACTTACAAAGGTTCACGAGCGAGTTCCTAGCTCTGTTGAGTGCTTGCGAGGGGAGCAGCAGTGCAGTGTGACGCTGGTGACGGAACAACTTTGGAAGAGATGAAAATACAAACCGAAACTTGTCATTATTGGTAAAAAGATCCACAGAAAGATACACATGATGTGTATACACACACATACACACAACTATATATACACAAAATATACACACACGATGTGCATGGACACACACATACTCTAGTACATAGATCTTCTTTAATGATAGTCTGTTGAACCCGAGGAGCATTGTATGATATACACAGGACATCTCCAACCTTGTAATCAATGCATTATGCTTGGATCAGGACAGGGCTAACTATTGATCACATCACAGCATGAAATTGACTTATTAAACATGACATTCTTGAAGTTTTAGGCCTTGTACATATATAATCTCTCTCTCTCTCGCTCTATACATATTTACATACAAAAAAATGTTGAGTGAATAGAAACTCAAGTTAAATATAAGGGAATCTGACCCTTATTTTGTGGTCAGAAATGTAATTAAGAACTTATTGTTAACTGTTCTGTATATCATCTACCCCCTGTAACCTGTTTGAAGACAGTGAACCTACAATAGTATCTGTGAGGTGGCTAAGTGTTGCGTGTGGCCTATCAGTCAGTACTGATAACACATTTACTTAATATTATAACTTTCACTGCGAGCCTCCTCACAAAGTGTTCCTAAGAGCAGAATACCTTTTATTAAGTGACCTCCTTTTTCAACTTTTTTTTAAGTTAAATAAAATTGACTGATCTCCATGTAAACTGATATGGAAGTGGGAGTATTGTGCGAATGATATAGATCACGGCAACCAAATGTATCAGAAACTGTTTGCAAAGACAAGCGGGTCGAAAGACACAATAAAAGACATCCGATCGAGATGAAATGTGCCCGAGTTTTGTTGCAGATTTCAGGCCATTGAAGGAAAAATTGTAACTCATGATTACGAGTCATTATTTTGAGTTTCCACCATGTCTTCACCTAAAAGACTATTTTGTCTCATAATAGAATAATAATCCTTGCATTTGATATAGCGCCTTATCACATCTTCAAGACGCCTCAAAGTGCTTCACAGGGTATACTGTAAAGATCTTAACACTTGTGTTCAAATCCGTTACCTCCCTACCTCCCTAAGCACCTCCCTACCTCTCCGACCTCCTCACTCCCTAATCGATTGCTCGACTGGCGCCAGCCTCCTGCTCGTCCCTCACACCCAATGCCCCACCATTGGAGGTTGCGCTTTCAGCTACTACGCCCCAAAACTCTGGAACATTTTCCCACAAGCCCTTGGGCTTGCCCCCTCTCTCCCCTCATTCAAGTCCCGCCTGAAGATCTTCATATTCGACCATGCTTGCGGCCACCACCCCGGCTCGGAGTCAGGCTCCGCCACAGTTAAGCGCTCTGAGACGCTACCCTGTGTGGAGGGTGCTATGTAAGTGCAAGTTGTTGTTTTGTAAAGTGAATTGACTGTGTATTTTTAATGGGCCAAATGCAGCAGCCGATTGTACATATCAGTGTCCCACAAGCATTCGTGGATTGAGTGACCAAATTATTATTATTATTTTGAAGGGATTGTTACAATCCGCCAATCGGATTAACTGGGTTTCTACTTACTGGTAGGTAAACAGCGGCCTGTGGAGTAAGGAAACTTGCCTAAGGATTCACGCTGCCCCAGAATCAAATCCAGCTCCTCTCGCTCGCTTGCTGTAATCACTACCCTACAGGACTCCACTTATTATGTTACGATTGTGCAGAATTGTAAAAAAAAATTGAATTTTGTCTCAATTTGGAAGCTACTTTCAGCAAATTCTACACAAATCGAAATTTTAAGACAAAATTTGCTTTGTAGGCTCAGACTAGGTAGAATTTTGTGCCAGTCATTAAGTCCACTGACCCCATCCTTTGCTCCCTCCTTCTTTCTAGGGCTCTGTTTCGTCGCTGGCTACTTAGATCCCAGAGCCACGATGGTTCTCGGCTTGGGAGCTGGCATCTTTAAGAGCAAATATAAACCCTGTTGCAACATCAGTGCCAGGGATGCTGATGACACCAACAACAGACCAATTAGTGGTTGCTGGGGAATTACCCAATGGAAAGAAATGAGCCCTGTAACAATCTCTATCCTTTTTTTATGTTCACTGTGATTGATGCCTTGGTTACTGATTACAGTTGCTGATAAGTGAAGCACTTTAACCCTTGAACAAAAGGTACCAGCTCCAGACCGGTTGTCTTAACATTCATTTGACAACAGGTTCTATTGTAGTTGCTCCCGTTAGTGTTGCAAGCTCAATAGACTGTGACTAAGTTCTATCCTGTTGGGTGTATTCATGTAACAATGGTTTTAACAGTGAAAAGGACACGAACAAAGCAGGTTGGATCTTCCCAGGATCACTCTTTCCCTCAAATATCTTCTTTACCCTCCCTTGGTTTCTTCAAGGTCCATCTCAAGACTTTCCTCCTTGATCGTGCTTTCAGCCACCCTCCCACTTTCCATCCCTCTTGATTCCAACCCCCAGCTCGGATGCAAACCCTTAACTGTCCAGCGCCTTGGGACGTCCTTCCGATGTGAACAACAACAAAATCACATTTGTATAGCGCCTTTCAAGTCGGGAGAACGTCCCAAGGCACCGGACAATCAATGTTTCGGACCGTAAAAGGGGTATTGTACATGTAATTTTTTTTGTTTCTTCCTCCTCACCTTAATTTTCTCTCTTCCTTTTCTGAAAACATTAACTTTGTTTCCAATGACCAGTGAATATTATTATTAAAATAATGGTAATTTGGTCACTCAATACACAGGACACTGCTGTTGGCTGCCGCTTTTCGTCCACAAAATACACAGTCAATTCACTTTACGGTGTTTTTGCGAAGCGCTTTGAGACGTCTCGAAGACGTGATGCAAGGATTATTATTATTATTAATAATCTGCATCTGCAAAACACACAATCACTACAATTTACAGTATATCGCTGCAAAGTGCTTTGAGACATCCACTTGACACGAAAGGCGAGATATCAAATGTAAGGATTACTTTGATTGTTGTGAGTGCCTGAGCCTAGGCAGTGAATCTCGGCGTGTTATTCAATGCTATTTAACCAACAAGGCATCACAGTCCAGCTCAGTCGGTTGCACTTTGCAGCAATGGTCACGGAATAGCGCTCCAGAGCAGGAACTCTCTCGCTCCTTGTTACTAGGAAGCCCAGAAAACACTTACACTAAATATAGCCCCTCTCCCACAGCCACTATAACTAAAGTCAATCAGCACAACTTTATACAGGGCCCTTCAGGGAAAATAATATGTTAGAGCACTTTAAATTTAGTCTAGAAATGAATTTAGGACAGAGATTAACTCAGGACAGAGTTCAAACCAAGGCTATTCCTGGTTTGAATGTTCCAAGATGCTACCCATGCGAATGGCACTATATAAATGCAAGTTGTTGTTTGTTTGTTATTCTTTGTTCCACACTGAGCAGCAAATTTACCAATATCAGAAGAGGCTTCACTTTCATTCATTCACTTCAAAGTAAACCTGATTTATGACAATTTATTTCCTTTTGTGTTGCTAATTTCAGTATTTGTCTCATTTGGGTACAAATTCCAGCTGGGTTTACATTTACATAACATTTCAGAGTGTGTGGGTCGGGACAAATTGCCTAATTCGGTTTTAACTTTGAAGCCTGTTTTCTGCCGTTTCTTAAAAAAAACCTCAGGGAAATTGATGGGGTAGGGGTGGGGGGGAGGTTTGGGGGGGAAGTGGGGGTAAAACACATTTTAACATAAGCTACAATACCAGGAAGAGGAAGAAAAATGTTTAAGAAGTTTTCAATCAGAATTTTATTATGAATAAATAATAGCAGATTCAATTACCACAAAGACAAGGGTTATATTTAACAACGACAAACAGAAATGCTATTAACCAGGAGGGAAAGAAAGACTTCAGCATACACAGGGAAGCCAAACAGCACTAATTGGTCAGGTCACTGGCCAATTCTCCTTCATTGGAAACATTGAATCATTAGTTACTGTATTTCCTCCTCTTGAAAAGGGCCAGCCAGCGCAGTAGGCTCATCGACAACCCAGGGGAGAGAGATCCAAAACAAGGGGACGGAATCTCAAATTTAGAGCTAAGATGGTTAGAGGTGAGATAGGAGGTCCTTTCTTCACAAAAGGGTTGTGAGAATGTGCAACGCACTGGCTCAGAGGCTCGAAGCCAGAACTGATTGGGATGTTTAAAATGGAGTTGGTTAGCTAATTGGGTACCTAGTTGGAAGGAACGTTAACGGGTGTAGAATGAACGTGGAAACATAATTGAAAGACCTGTCATGATACACTTGTGGAACGAACGTGATGGGTTGAATGACCTCCTCCTGCTCCTGTTCTCATTATGTTCACAGAACAATCGGTTAACATCACAGACGTGACCGTTCATCAGAATGGTTCAGACGGTCGCGTTCTGATGCAGGGTCAAACCTAAACCTTCTACTTGAGGTACATTCATTGTCGGAGGTGCTGTACTTCGGATGAATTGTTGGACCAAGGTCCTGTCCGCCTGTTCAGATGGATGTTAAAGATCCCATGGTGGCACTATTCAAAACGAGAAGGGAGTTTCTCTCTCCCGGTGTCCTGGCCAACAAACCCCCAAATAAAACTGGTCACTCACTCCATGCCCGTTTGTGGGACGTTGCTGTGCGCAATTGTGCTGGCGCATTTGCCTACAAATCCGCAGTCACTAAGCTTCATAGACAATCCTGAATCCTGATGAGGCGCTTCACCAAACACAAGGGTGATTTATTTATCAAATAATTATAAATTCCAAAAAGCAGAGTGCTCGTCATTGACTTCGGGGTTCACTCTGTTCGCTCTGCAGCGCGGTTTGAGGTCAGGTAAGTACTGCTGGATCTCCTTCATCATCAATCCATAGACAAGTGGGCAGAAGCACCTGGGCAGCACAGCGATGACCATGACCGTCACCAGCTCCAGAATGAAGGCCTTCTGCTCAGTGAAAAAGTGAGGCAAGAGGTATCCGTTGGCAGAAATGAAGAGCAGCACTGCTGGGAGTAGGTAAAGGATCAGGCAGAAGACGTAGAGGCAGAACATCTTATGGGCATTGGTCTTCACAAAGCGCCGCTCCCAAGTCACCTTGACCTCCTTGTAGATGCCGACGTAGCAGAAGACGGTGAGGATGCAGCACATGAGGAGGAGGACTCCCAGGACCACTTCCTGCACGAAGAGAAAGGAACGAGAGATGAGCTGCTCGGTGAAGAGGGTCCCAGCGCAGCACCAGGGGATGATGTCAAAGAGGATCTGGGTGTTGGAAGCCGTCAGGATCCCAAAGCTCACCACTGGGTCCAGGAGGGCGAAGGCCCACAGGATGCCACACACCACCACAGCCCGCTTCCGCAGGCAAAGGGAGTTGTAATGCAGAGGCCAGCAGATACCCATGTACTTGTCCACGGTCATGGCCGATAGGCTCAAGATGCCGCAGGAGAAGGTGACCAGCTCCAGGGTAATGTTACAGCCGCACCAGAAATAAGAGACGGGCATGTCGGTCACCAGAACCAAGGCTTGCACCAGGACCAGGACAATGTACATCAAGTCGTTGATGAGGAGGTTGGAGAGCAACAGGTACCGAGTTTCCTCTCGAAGGATTCTCACCTTGAATATGGTCCAGAGAACCACGCTGCTGAACACCGTAGCCACCGACAGGCTTAAGGTGATGATGACCAGGAAGATCTTCAAGACCAATGTGGTGTTTTCTTTCTGGACGATGTCCAGAATGCTGCTGTGGGAGCTGTTCATTCCTGCTGCTCAAAGCTCTTTGCACTGGCAAGCATCGAGAGAGTTGGTGGTGATTGATTCGATTCTTTTCCATAAACTGAAACGATGGACTATGACAGGCGGAAAGTCAATATTTAGAAAGCTTCATCAACCATTCAGTTACTAGGAAAGGCAAGTCTTTCTGTTATACATTTGCCCAAACTGATTCCACCCAGTGCTGCGCTGTCCAAAAAAGCATTCCTTTGAGTCCCAAATCAACGTGGCTTTGACAAAAGTAATGGCCGATTGGATTTAGGAATAGGATTACTGGTCATGTGTACTGATAGATAGAGGACAGAAGGCTGGATTTCTGACCTCCTCTTCGACTGTGTCTTCGATCACTCTCCTACCCCTACCCTCCCAGCCCTTCACCCTCCTGATCCCAACCACCAGCTCAGGTGTGGATCTCTGACAGTCAAGGGCCTTGGTTTGTCCTCCTGACGTGAAAGGCGCTATACTAATGTAATCTGTTGTTGTTGTTGTTGGATTTGGGGCAGCATCTCACAAACAACCTGGGCTTTCTCCGCAATCTTTGTTCAATTATTTCCAGGCATTTGTTTATCTATCCCACACCCCTCCCCAAACCTCTGTGTTCGCCCCATTCTCCCTGTAGTGGCTCACTTGGACCGGGCTACCATTTTACGAGGGCCGTACGCACACTTTAGGGGAATCTGACCCAAGCCCCCATTGTTCCTGTGAACCCACACCGTGGGCGCTGGCATTCTGTCCAACACACGGACAGCATCACAGTCCAGCCTGATCCTGTCCACAGCCTTCCATGCCTGGTCACCGGCTTGTGGTCAGCAGAAGGTTATCCTGCTTGCTTTCTCGCTCATCTGAAGGCAAACGGAAGCCAATTGTTTCAACCCTACTCCACCCTCTGCTCCAAATTTCACCCCATTGTGTGGTTTGTCTTATGCAAATAACAGGCTAAGGGAAACTAGGAGCGCCGTTAGTCTGGGAGCCATAAACCATTCCTATCTCTTGCTGAACTGCAGCTCTTTTGCTGAAGCCAAATGCATTCAATACCTCAGCCTCATTGCAAGCCATCATTTTGTCAAGTGAGTCAGACAGCTGCTCACCTTATCTGCAGGTGACATCTGAAGGTAAACTGCTGGGATGGAATGCAATTTAATGGCTCTGTGACCAACACGCTCACAGTGAGATCATGGAATCTAGGAGATGCTGACAGGGTGGTGCCAATAAGGAAGAGGTGCAGTTGGGTCAGGCTCTAATGGGTGTAGAGGGAGTAATTGGCCACACCTAACTCCGGCCTGCTTCACGTACCCCGCCTTACCCGCCCCATCATTAATGGGCAGGCCTTTGGCCTCTCTGCCCCCACCCTTTGGAACTTCATCCCACAGTCCCTCCACCTCGCCCCTTCCCCTGCCTCCTTCAAGATTAATCTCAAGACCCTCTTCTCCGACTGTGCCTTTGGTCACCCTCCTACCCCTACCCTCCCCGCCCTCCACCCCTCCTGATCCAAACCACCAGCTCGGGTGCGGATCCAGCACCTTGGGGCATCCTCCAGACGTGAAAGGCTCTACACAAATGTAATTTGTTGTTGTTGTTGCCTGATGAGAAGCAGACACAAGAGCCCAAACACATTGCATTGAGGCTGTTTTTTTCTACTTCCTGTAGCTGCAATGAAGGGTCTCTCCTCTTTGTCTCTTTATTTTAATAATAATTACCCTTGCATTTCATATCATGCTTTATCACATCGTTGAGATGTTTCAAAGCATTATCTCTTTGTTTTCCACCAGTTGCATAAATGTGAAGGGCACTGCCTATTGTGAAGCTCAGGTGTCAGCCTGGCTGAGTCTGCTCACACTCTTGCGTCTGCATTAGAAGGTTGTGGGTTTGAGCCCCACATCAAGCTTTGAGCTCACAGTCCAGGCTGACATTCCATTTGTGCCAAGTTTAGTTGATTTCTGTCTGAGCCATAGTTGTGGGCTACCATTTGCTTCAGCATCCCTTGGGCTGAACCAGCCAGTGTTCCTGCTTCTGGTCCTTGTTTAACCGTAGCTGAGAAGTATATGAGCGTGGACATCAGAGAGGGCAGAATCTTGCTTGGCAGGTAGCAGCATTAAGTTGTTGACAGAAATACAGACCTGAAACGCGAAATATCGCATGGTTTTAACTTTCATTTTTCTTTATTTGGGTAGAAATTCCATTTTGGGTCACACCTGGAGCGTTTGCTAACGGCAAAGGCCATGAACTATAGATCCATGGAAATTTACAGCACAGAAGAAGGTCATTCGGCCCATCGTGTCTATGCCGACTCCCTCAACAGCAATCCTTTCAGTCCCAACTACATGCCCTTTCCCCATACCCCCTGAAGCTGACATGTCTTAAGGTATGTATCTAGTTCCCTCTTGAATGCTTATATGGATTCTGCGTCACCCTCCCACTCCAGGCAGGGCATACCTTATTCTAACTGCTCTCTGCGTGAAAAAAAATTATCTTAAGCTCTCCATTTGCTCATTTACTAATCGTCTTAAATTGGATGAGCACAATCACTGAATACATTTTTAACCCAATTGTCATGATAAAAAAGTTTGTGGAGAACTTGAGTTCAGAGGATCTTACAGCAGGTCATTTGGCCCATCGTGCCTCTTTGATAAGCTACCAACTGGTCCCACTCCCTTGCTCTTACCCCATAACTCTGCAAATTTTACCCCCTAGTCTTAATTCGTTTGGAAGCCATTTCCTTTTTAAGATCTGTGAAAACTGTCTGCTAAATTAAAAGTGAATCAAGAGTTCTCCAAACTTCTGCATGATCTTAAATGCTAAGACGAGTGGTGTTAGGGTTAAGTTCACGAGAAACTCCAGGTCTATGGAGAGCAGCTAGATGATAAGCGTGGAGGGAAGGTTGCCTAACATTAAGATGAGTGGAGGGTTCGAATTAATCCTGACTGTGCTGAGTGTGGTTTCATTTGCATGCTGCTTCCGAAAGTGTTCCTTAATTCCTGAAAGTTAAACCCGAAAAGGGTGCAGCCTCCTGGTGGGGAGGAATTAATTGTTGGGTAACTGAGAATTCTATGATTCAGGCAAACTCAACTTCACTGACAGCCTGGCATTATCTCGTCGTATATCGTTCCTGTACAGGAAAGAAAAAAAAACACGGTACGATTAGAAAAAGAGAACGCACTCTCCCAGTGTCCAGTACAGAATCCGCGGATATAAAACTGGTCGAAACTGGTATACTTCACAGTACAATCCTGTAACGTGCATTGAAAAGTCTTGATGACGCGATAAGGCAAGCATTGTAATAGTGAGGGAAATGTCATTTGCATCTGTCAGCTTGATTGTCTGTCTGTCTGCACTTGCCATTTAAAAAAAAATTAATTTCAGGAGAATTATCAGTGCTTTTTTAATCAGCATTTCTGTGTTCCTCACTGTACCAACCTCCCCCCACTCCCCACCCTCCAAAAAAAATGAACATGTTTACTTGCTGCAGGTTGGAGACTGCTGCCACCTTGTGGCTAAAAGAACAACAACAACAACAACAACACAACAACAACAACATTACATTTGTTTAGTGCTTTTCACGTCCAAGGCGCTGGACAGTCAGTGTTTTGGACCCGAGCCGGCAGGATGGTAGGGAGTTAGGAGGTGGCAGAGGAGCAAGGTCATGGAGGGCTTTGAAGGTGAGGACCAGGATCTTGAACTGTATCCTCTGTGTGATGGGAAGCCAGTGGAGTCGGGCGAGGATGGGGGTGATAGGGTCACGGAGCTTGGTGCGGGTGAGGACACGGGTGGCAGAGTTCTGGATGATCTGCAGCCTATGAAAGGAGGTGTTGGGGAGGCCAACAAGCACGGAGTTTGCTAGGTCGAGCCTCGATGTAATGAATGCGTGTATGAGGATTTCGGTGGCCTGGGGTGTGAGACAGTGGCAGAGCCGGGCGATGTTGCGGAGGTGGGGGAAGGCAGAGCGGGTCATGGCACGGATGTAGGGTAGAAAGGAGTTAAACAAGATGCCAAGGTTTCGGACTGGCTTAGGAAGGTGGAGGGTGCATCCATGGATGGTGATGCTGTCGGTGCGATACAAAGGGGCTCTGTATTCTTTCACAGAACCACAGAAATTATGTTACAGAGGAATCCTATTGAACCTATGCTGGAGCTGACGATTGAAATCCCAAATCCCTGCTTTTTCTCTGCACCTTTTTACATTCAAATATGTCAGTTTTTCTCAATGATCGCACTCTTGCCTCAAGTCAAAAGGTTGTGGTTCGAGCCCCAGGTCAGGGACTTTGAGCACAGTCCAGTACAGGATTCAAGGAGCAATGTATTATCCGTTGTGCCATCCTTTAGATGAGATGTTAAGATAATGTGCTGTCTGCAGGTCCAGGAGGACGTTACAGATCCCATGGTGCTATCTGAAAAAAGGGGAGGAGGGTTCTCCTAGTGGCCTGACCAACAATCTTTTGGATAGTTTGATCATTCACCAACAACAACAACAAGATCACATTTGTACAGCGTCTTTCACCACCTGGCTAGTTGCAGGACATTGCTGTGTGCAAATTCGCTGCAGCTTTCGGTGACAAATACACAGTTTCTACTTAACTGGAATTACAGGAAAGCTAGTTAAGAAAGTTATATGACGTGCGAGGATTAATTGTTTAAAAAATATTCCCCAAGCATTAAGATTGAGAATATGTTAACAGATGTCCCAAACTTTACCGCAATATGTGATATATCAATTATCTGTGGAGTCCTGTAGCTCAGTGGTTACAGCACTCGCCTTGCAAGCAAGACACCTGGGTTCAATTCCAGGCAGTGCGAAACCTTGGGCAAGTTTCCTTACTCCACACACCTAATAATAATCCCTTCAAAAAACGAAACAATAATAAATTGGTCATTTTCAATCCATGATTGTTTGTGGGACACTGCTGTGCGTTTCGCCCACAAATATACGGTCAATTCACTTTACAGCATATAATGAAGCGCTTTGAGACGTCGAGAAGACGTGAAAAGCTCTA